AAATAAGGCTCAGCTAAGGGACAGAATTCTCTGGTCTCCTTGTCCTTTCATCATATCAAACTATCCTAGGTCTTTGGCTTGAAAGTTTTTAAGGAAACTACTATTTCCAGACTCTTCAGAGCTGTGGTCAGAAGCTCTGCTTATAAGGCCTGTAAGCAACAAGACACAATCCTGTGATCAGATTCATAGTCCCAAACAGCTAAGCCCAAGTCCTTCTCAGGGTACCTGAGTTTCACAGCTGTCTTTTCTAAATGTTTCAACACCAGGAAAAAACCGTCCTAGTTGTTTTTCTTCATTATACTGCTTGTCCTTCTATATACAGAATGTCCAATTTCATTTCCTCCAGAGATCAAGGAAGAAATAAAAAGAGAAGAACAGCTTAGACAAGACTTACATTAAATGAAGAAATGGATAAGCTGACGTTACCACTCTCAAAACATTCAACCCATCAGTAAACAGCAACCTATTCTCTTCAGAGAATTCTCAGCCTCTCCTAACAGCCTTCTGTCTACTGTCTGAATCTTACCATGGTTGTTCAGAACAACAGACTGGTGTTTATGCCATCTAACTGCTGTACTAACTGATGAGTCATGTTATTTCACTGGGAAAAGAATGACAAAGTTATCTTCTGATTCGGAAAGGCAGCTGATCTTTCAGACATGTGAGTGCTGAATGAGTAAACAGCATCTCCTTCTATATGAAGCAAGGTGGATTTCTGGACCAGTGTCCTTCCTGGATGGGGTGGGGTGGAGGGAGAGGATAAGTCCTTCAGAACAATAATTTCAAATGAAATTTGCTGGAGGATGAGGCAGTGTGTGGTGGTACACCACTGTAATCCCGGGCTGAGGCAGGAGGATCACAAGTTTGAGGCCAGCCTCAGCAATTTGGCGAGGCCTTAAGCAACTAGGTGAGACCCTGTCTCAAAATAAAAATAGAAAGGGCTGGGGGTGTGACTCAGTGGTTAAGTGCCCCAGGGTTCAATTTCCAGTTAAAAAAAAGAAAAGAAGAAGAAAAAATACACTGGAGGGTGAGAAATTTCTAGCTTGTAATTCTTGGACCAAGGATTAGTGGGCAAAGGCAGAATTGTGAAAATGGTAAACACTGAATATCTTTCTTTCCTCCCTCCTTCTTTCCATCCAAAAACAACTATTTCCCCATATTCTTGTCCCATGTGCTGTAGAATTCTAACAAAGTGTAAATTCTGGTTTTGTTGTTTGTTTACTGGAGCTTGAATCCAAGAGCACTTTACCACTGAGCTACATCCCCAGACCTTTTGATTTTTATGACAGTCTCACCAAGTTGCCCAGGCTGGCCTCAAACTTGCAATACTCCTGACTCAGCCTCCCAAGTCACTGGTGTGTACCACCATGCCTGACAAGGAACAAACTCTGAATGAAAGAAAATAGTAACTCTGCCTGAGTCATTCACATTGCATTTCTATACCTAGAACTGTGCTTAGCACACAGTAGTACTTGGAAAATGCTTGTTGAATGACTTGATGAATAAAATTAAAACAGGGCATAGTGCAGGTAGATTCATTTTTAAGACTGTGGAAAACTGAGGTACACCATTCTGAAGTGGTAGGGGTACTGTGGAACTCCCGCCATTAAACAAAGCTGCCAGTAAGGGTGAAAGCCATTCATGTAAGTCACATCTTAATGGCAGGATATTGAAGGTAGCAGTGTATTCAGTTTTCAAAAGAAAAGACCATAGTGACAAGCAAAGACAATGGGTCCTCTTGGGGGCCCTATAAATCCTGCCAGGGCTTGGGGTGTAGCTCAGTGTAAGCATGTGCAAGGCCCTGGATTAGATCTCAGCACCAAAAAAAATAAACAAACTGCCATCAAATGGCTAACCCTTCTGAAACCAGGTCATCAGAATTCAGAGGAAATGTACATCAAAAAGTCCCCAGGAAACTAACCACTGAGCATGAGCCCTAGGTGCCTCAGAAACATCCCTCTGCCTCAGTTACTGTGAGATAATGTGGCTTCCTGTGTTCATGAAACCCAAATGGCTAAAATTCAATGACCCAGCACAGAAAAGAGGAAGCAATTCAACAGCTTCTGCACCCACCTACACTTCAGCTTCCTCAGGACCCACCACCTCTACTGTTCACATGTAACATGCCTCTGACACCATGTGATCCCTGTGTTTAGTGCTGGAACTGATCTGCCATCAGCTCTGGCAAGGAGCACTGGGACAGGATCCTCCACAAGTGCCAGGACAAGACACATGGCCATGGCTCTGTAATTACAGCCAACCCCACTGGCATTCCCTGAGGTTCTCCAGAGCCAGAATACCAGTCAAAAGGAAGCAAGGGCTTCATCTGCCCCAGGGTGAGTGAGCTGGGTGAGGGACCATCTCTCACCTTGCAGGAATTTCAGTGACACCTACCATTCCAACAGTCAACACAAGTAATATAATATGAACGGTGAAAAAACAATCCCTGGGGACAGGTATAAGGACCAGACATCAGGGTTGGGGTTGTGGCTCAGTGGTAGAGCGCCCGCCTAGCACGGGCAAGGCCCTGGGTTCGATCCTCAGCACCACATAAAAATAAATAAACAAAATAAAGGTATTGTGTACCACTAAAAAATAAATAATAATAATAATAATAATAATAAAAGGACCAGACACCAGGAAAAATCTCTGACCCAAGAGTAGAGGAACTCTACTCCCCTGCACTCATTAACCAAACAAGCTGCATGGTCTATCAAGCTGCTCACCTCTGAGCAAGCACCTAGACTTGACTGTTCAGGGTTAGCTGGTGGGGTTGGCAGGGAGCTCTGCACTACAATTTCAGGCTGAATGGGAGCTGTCAAGGGAAGAATGGGCAGAGTTGATGTGAAGAGTTGCTATGGGGACAAAAGGTGAAAGGACATGGAGGATCTCTGTTAATAAAAAGGAAGAGGGTGATAGGAACTGAGGCAACTAGAGATGGGGACAGATAAAGACTTAGGAATGGGGTTTCCTCGCGATGGTAGAGGAGGGAAAAGAAATACATAATGAGCTAGGAAGGTAAGGGCAAAGTCTGTGAAGAAGCTACACATAAAATTTGGGAGAAGGCTGAAAGAGGAGTTAACACAAAGCGGGTGAGCTCAACAGGGCATGAGAGGAGGAGAGAGGTAGACGTTTGGGATAAACAGACCTTAGGGGGCTGGGTAGACATTGGGAGCTGGGGATGAGAGAGCTGAGCCAGAAAAGGGGAAACATGAATGGTGAATTTAGGGGAGGTTTGTGCGGAGTATTAGGATTGCCAGGGGGGTTGTGGGGTGAGGATTAGATAAAAAGGAGGTAAGGGATACGTATATCCAGATCGGAGTTGCAACTAGGTTAAAGAGAGGTCACGAGTGAGGCTGCATTTATGCAAGACCGGTGGTAAGAAGATGGGAGCAAGAGCTGAGGTTGGGTCACGGGTAGGAGAAAATGGACGGAACAGGCCAGCGGTGGCAGCGCGGACCGAAGGCTACGGTGGGAGCCCGGTGCGGGCTGGGAGGGCAGAGGGCTCCGAAGCCGGACTGTCTCGAGGCAACCAAGATCTCTGGGATCACCGGGAGGGCTGGAGTACCTACTGCCCGTTGGCTCGATCGGCATCAACTGAGCGACTTTGGGGTAGTGACTTAGCCTCACAAAGCCGACGACAGTCCACTTGAGTAGTACCAATAATACCCACTCTTAATACCTACTCTTCCTTTGCCTCCCGAAGGCATCAGTCCAACCCAGTGGGTAGAGCCTGGGCTCAAATTGGAGCCTTCCTCCTGGCTTTTAAGAGCCGGGAATACACACGTATTTTGAAGGCACCTAATACCACGTGATCACCTTGAGGTTTCTCTGGGCAGTCTCATGTGTTCAACACAATCCTGAAGACCTGAAGCCCAGGGGTTCGCTTTTCCTCTTCCAGCCTTGTAGTTGTTTGTTTTCTTGAATAAAAGGCTGAGATGATCCCTTAAGTTTGCTTCTGGCCTGGTCTTTTTGTGCTAACAGGCACCAACTTGGACCCCCACCTCTGCAGAGAAGCCTCTGTCCCTCTCTCTCTCTGTTCTATTCTTTAAATAAAACTTTTTGTGCTTGCCTTGGAGTTTCTTGGGTGTTCAGTCTTCAACACTGGGGGAACAGGATTCAAACTTGATTCTCAACACAGGTATCACTAAATGTGATTTATTACCAACTTTGTTGCTAAAGATGGGAGTGGAGAAATGCTTGCATCTTTTGCAAATTATCACTTGTAATCCTGTAGTTGTGGATGGTGCTGGATGAGGCCGGAAGTGGGTAGGTTTGGGGTTGGATGGAGTTGAAGGGAGCTGAGTACACATGTGACCCTAAGTGGGGTCAGGAGAGGCTGATGCAGTCCATATGAATGGAGAAGTAGCTTTATACATGTTTTCCAAAATAAAAGCTCAAGGAGGAAAATCTAGGGAAATTACTGCTCTAGCATGTTCTTTACCCTATCCTGCTAGATGTCCAAGGGTCAACATTTTAAAAATGAAAAACCACTAAACCAATATTAATTTTCTACCAGCTTTTAAAGGGTGGAGAATCCCCTACGAAGACAGGGTATATGTTTGCACATGATTTGAAGGCTTGGGAAGAAAAGCACAGCTTGGCCCCACAGTGCAGCAAGTTCAATGATTCAAATATTCTGGCAACCCCAATACCTGATGAGAGGGGCCAGAAGGTGGAAGATCTTCATGGGCATGAGGTCAACTAAGTTTCAAATGATTGGTTCTTGAACCAGAAAGAGCGCACCAGAATAACTGGTATTTTATTTAGAAATCCACACTCCTGGAAGATGATGTGTTTTCTGGCCCTCTGAAAGATGATTATTTACACTGGGGCATGAGGCCTAGAAGCTCTTTCCAACTCTGCACACACTGCCTCTTACAGAAGCATGGCTGCCATAGAGGATTCTAGCTCTAGACCAGCTCTACTTGCCTATGCCCTTGTTGTTTATATACACATATTTAACTATTTACATGTTACTTTTTACCACATGGCTAGGATTGGTTGTGAATTTTGCACCGTTTAATATGAGAAAAAAAAGTATTTTACAAGCACTGATGAGAAGCCAATATTAGAAAATAAAATTTGCCAGTCGCTTGAGGCAAGACAGATTTACTCTCCGCCGCCCTCAGTAGGAGCAGAGGTCTGTGATGGGGCTTCATCCCTGGGAGAAGAACAAAGCCAAGGTTGTTACTCTTGAAAGGAGCAATTAAGCTTTTCCTTACCTCTTCACTTGAGAATTTTATATCACCCCCAGTCACTTACCTAGCATCCTTATTGAAAATCTCATCCTCATCAGAGGAGTCCTTGTCATGTAGCTTCTGTGCCATGTTTTTCTTACGTGTGGCATTGAGAGGTCTGTACGTATCTCTAAGCCAAAGTGGCCACCTTTACCAGAAAAAGCCCTCCTAGAAAACAGAAAGTGGAACATTAATTCTGCTTCCCGCTGCCTTCCCTGGCCACAGCACTGGGTTCTCTTCAGATTTACCTGATTTTCACTTTCCGTTGAGCTTCTCCTACACAGAAACCCGAAACAGCTCCTGGGGGGAAACACATGCACAAGACAATTAGTGATGGATGCCATTTTTCATGTCTTTTTGTAATGTGCACCTTTGGTCTTTTTAGGACAAAGCCTATACCTTAGTTCATAAGCACAATGAGCAAAATCATGCTAGACCTGGGGTCCTAAAAACAATTCCCTGCATGCTGGGCTACCAGAACTCTCTATGTATGTTCCCAAAGAGCCACATGAGCATAGGCAGGATTAGCAACTCTGCTTACCCTCTTGGCTAAGTACCTTGTACAGTACACAACCATACTGGGCTGAAGTGTTTTACTCTCTCCAGAGCCTTTCACATCAGTCCTCTTTGGACTTAAATCTCAACATGTATCATCATTTTGGGGTGGGGAGCAGGGTGGCTCTTGAGGGAGAAGGTGTTTCTATTTCCTAGCTGCTTTATCCTACAAGTTGTATTACATCAAGTAAATACCAAAGTCCAATTAGTAAAGTTGTCTAGCTCACTGATTTCCATATTGCAGGCTGTCACTTATGATTGAGTTGTAAAATCAGTTTAGACATATACATAACAAAAAAACAATAGGAAAAAAAACCTGTGCATTGTTTCAAACATTGCTGATGTTTACATTGAAATGTGTCTACTAATTCACAATATCAAATGTTGCTCACAGCCCAAGTGTGGGTATAATTAATGGAGAAGTACCTAGCTGGAAAGGAACCATTTTCTGACACTAACTGTGATCACAGGGTAAGATATTTTCCCTTTCTTATTCTCCGTTTCTTATTATAAAAGGAAGAGACAAACTACTATTTCTAAGCTCCCTGTTAAAATTCTATGAAATCTAGGTAAAAGGAATAGAGAGTGGGGGTGAGAAGGTGACCAGTAAGGCAAGAAGGTAAAGTTTTCCTACCACCTGGAGGAAGGACTCATACATTCTACTTCTACTTCCGCCAGCCTGGAAGGGGAATAGCACAGCACGCTAATGACCCAAGGTCTTCCCTGTCCCTGAAAGCCTCAAAGAAGGGCTCCAGCTGAGTCTGATGCACGTGAACAGTGGGAGCAGGCACAGCCCAAACCTCTTGCCCTCCACTCTCTTTCCTTAAGGACTGGAGACAGCAGATGCATCCCTGCTAGTGCCTTTGACCTCAGCAGGCTGGGAAACTAGTTTTCCTGGAGCCAGGGGAGACATGAGAGGAAGTATTCTTCGTGCCTTTAGCAGTTTCCTCACTGTTAAGATTGAAATAGATGAGTTCTAAAATTCTCATTTAGGGGCTGGGGTTGTGGCTCAGCGGTAGAGCGCTCGCCTAGCATGTGCGATCCTGGGTTCGATCCTCAGCACCACGTAAAAATAAATAAAGATATTGTGTCCAACTAAAAATAAATATTAAAAATAAAATAAAATTCTCATTTAAATACTGCCAGGCTCATATTTACCTTAAGGACTTTTCTTCATCATCTTGTGATGCTGTTTTATGGGAATAAATCTGTTTTGGAAGAAAATACTGTCATAAGTATCACAATGACCACTAATCTCCAAGTCTCTATTCATTCCTTATATTTATTTTAAGTCTTATCTACCCAGTGAGATAATAACTTTTCTGAGGGCAGGAATTCTATCCTTTTAATGGTTCTCTGACTCTTCCATAGTACCTAGCTTAGGGTCTTGCATGCAGCTGGCACTTAATATATTTTATTGACTGTTTTAGATAAAATCCAACAGATAATTCCTAATAAAAACACTTAATAGTAGAAAAAGAAAGAACTACTTAACTTGATAAACATGTCTGCCAGAACTTTAAACAACAGTGTCGTTTTAAAATCAAGAATAAGATTAGGATGCCTGTTATTGCTGCTGTTCAACCTCATTGAGGAGGTCTTAATCAATGCAGTATGAAAAATAAATGAGGGCATAAATGGGGAAAGGAACTGAAACTATATATCAAAATGGATTCTACTGTCATGTATAACTAAAAAGATCCAATTAAAAAAATCTATGTAGTGAAAATACTAAAATTCAGCTGGATGTGGTGGCACACACTTATATTCCCAGCAGTCCGAGATATTAAGGCAAGAAGATCAAGTTTAAGGCCAGCCTGGGTAACTTTGAAATACCCTGTCTTAAAATAAAAAATATTTTTTAAATTTTTTTATTGTAGCTCAGTGGTAGAGCACTTGCCTACCATGCGTGAGGCACTTGGTTTACCGCATAAAAATAAAATATGGAAGGAAATGCTTCCTTTTAAAAAATAAAAATAAAAAAGACTGGGAGTGCAGCTCGGTGGTGGAGTGCCCCTGAGTTCAATCCCTAGCACCACAATAAATAAATAAATAAATAAATAAATAAATGCACATTAAGAAGAAATGAATATATGGCATGAGATTACATGTTCCCAGAATGTTGTAAAGATGTTAATTCGCAAATTCATTTTCAAATTCAATCTAGTCCTATTCAAATTCAAAGACAGTTTTTTTGTTTGTTTGTTTTTGTTTTTATTTTGTTTTTCTTTTGGCAGAGAAAATATATAAGAATAGTAATGAAATGTACGAAATGATCAGGAGAGCAGGAGCTTGCCCTACCAAATATATAGCTTGAAATATGTTATAAAGCAACTGGAATTAAGTGGTGTGATGTTAGTACTGGTATAGAAAAAGACACCTGGATCAATGGGAAAAAAGAGTCCAGATAAAGATGGTATTTTACATCAGTGAAGAAAGAATCAACCATTAATTAAAATAGTTTTAAGGGCTGGGGTGGTGGCTCACTTGCCTGGCATGTGTGAGGCACTGTGTTAGATTCTCAGCAACACATACAAACAAACAAACAAACAAATAAATAAATAAATAAATAAAGGTCCATTGACAACCAAAAAAATATTAAGAATAAAATAAAATAGTTTTGAAACAACTGGGTAATCATGTAGGGGGGGGGAAAGATTCCCTACTCCAACCATACTAAAACAAAACACAAATTCCAGAAGGATTAAAAATATAAATAAAAATGCAATGTTAGAAAAGCACTAGAAGAAAGTATCTGAAATCACCTTTATTCCATGAGGTAATAGAGACCACTGGTTATAACAATAGCTCATCCATGGCCACAAGGCAGTGCTGGTGACAGAGGTGGGTGGCTTGACTAGAAACACACCTACTCTTCACAGCCCTCCCCCTTGTCTTTTTTCTTATGGATTTATTTTCTTAAGGACTAACATATTTAGTATAAAAAAAGTTTTATAAATCCATGTTAGTCCTTACAATGGTTTGCAATGGTTTTCTTTGTATTTCAACATTTCAAGTATTTCCCAGTATTTTTGTCTCTTAAGGAGGTGAACAGGCTTTGTAATAGGAGCTGGAATTTTGCTCTTGGTTAGCCACTGAGGTCAGTTGATCTCCTTCATTTGTAAAAGAGGGTTTATAATATTATCCTACAGGATTTTTGTGAGGATTAAATAAAATAACATGTGGAAACTGTTTGTTCTATATGCTTCACATCCATACATACTGTTTGCTAATGGGCATCAGAGATAGGATGGTCACATCTGCTAAAGACTGCTAAAGGTTTCTGCCTGTGCTATCAGACTTAGGAAGCTCTTTTCCATCAGGTTATAAAAAAAAAAAATATTGCTTCTATTTTCTTCTACTACTATCATGATTTCTTTTTTTTTTTAACATTTACTGAAATATGTTTAAGGTGAAAAGTAGGCATCTTTTATTACTTGCTCCTTCATTAGGCTTCTATTACTATTAATTCATTTTTTCTCCAGTGATTTGAATTTTTTTTTTATATTTATTTTTAAGGTGTAGATGAACAAAACACAATGCCTTTATTTTTATGTGGTGCTGAGGATCGAATACTAGGGAACAGTGTTTGGCATATTCTTTTGAGCTCTTTTTTATTGGTTAGTGTTTTTTTTAAATAAATGCAAAATATATATATGCTAACATGAAATAATTAGCTAACAAAGTATTACATAGTAGAAATAATGAAAAGTCTACTCCATTAAGCAGTTATCTCATTTGTTTTCTCCAAACCTGGTTTGTAAGGTTTGAGGCAGAAGTGACTAAAACCAGCAATACAAAAGCAGTTGTCCCTGAGGGCCTAGGAGGTTTGATAATTCAAAGGACTACTTTTAGTATCATGTGAAGCTCTTTATATTCACTTCTTTTAAGCCTTCTACATCTGAAAAAAGAATATATTTACTAAAAACATCATTAGTTAGCTTAATAGGGTTAATGACCCACACATATCTAGATACCACAGACAAAGGATAAAAATCAAGCTTTCACAGCAAAGAACCTAAATTATCTTTAACCAGATAAAAATACTATGTAAGTGTTCCCTCCTTGACAATAATAATAATAGAGAGATTTTAATTTTGTGATTAATGAAAAGTTATAGGCAGTTCTGATCTGCTTACTTAGTGTAAACGTTGCAAGCTACACTATTTAACCATCATTTCAAATATCTATTTTCTGGAAGGGGATACTGAGATTGAACCCAGGGACAATTTAAAACTGAGCCATATCCCCAGCCCTTTTGATTTTTTATTTTGAGATTGGGTCTCACTAAGTTGATTAGAGCCTTGCTAAATTGCTGAGGCTGGCCTTGAACTTGCAATCCTCCTGCCTCGGGCTCCTGAACTGCTGGAATTACAGGCATGTACCACCATGCCCAACTTTTTCACATTTTTTATTGGTGTATTATAGTTGTACATAATGCTGGGATTTGTTGCTACATATTCATACATGCACACAATGTAACAATAAACTTTGGCCAATATCATTCCCCAGCACTTCCCCCTTCTCTCCCTTCTTCTCACCCCTTGGTTCCTTTCCTCTTTTCTACTGATCTCCTTTTGATTTTCATGAGCCTCACTCCCATCTTTCTTTTCTTTTTTCCTCTCTAGTGTCCACACAAGAGAGAAAACACATGACCCTTGACCTTCTTTATACTTCTGTGTTTGGCAAATATCTATTTTTAATGAAGGTATGCCAATTCCTGCATTGAAATCCTTAATACTGCTTAGTAGTATTGCTACTACTACTAGCTTAGTAGTCTTGAAAATATTATTATGTAATTTACTTACTTAGTTATTTTGTCTTTTTTTTTTTTTTTGTTCCAGGGATTGAACTCAGGGGCACTCAACCACTGAGCCTCATCCCCAGCCTTATTTTGTATTTTATTTAGAGCCAGGGTCTCACTGAGTTGCTTAGCACCTTGCCCTTGCTGACGTTGGCTTTGAACTTGCAATCCTCCTGTCTCATCCTCCTGAGCCACTGGGATTACAGGTGTGCGCCATCATGCTGGCTAGTTATTTAGTCTTTAAGCATTAATTTAATTCAGTTTAATTGTTAAAACATTCTGAATTAATGGCATTCAAATGAATATAGGTGGCCTATTTTTTTTCTCTCCTGTAGGCACCAAACTGAGGTTAACTTTAATTCCCTCTGTTCTACTAATCCAACTTTTTAAAACCTTATTTGCAAAGGCCAGATAGTAAATATTTTAGATTTTGCAGGCCACATACGATCTCTGCTACATATTCTTTCCTATTTATTTTACAGCATTTTAAAAATGTAAAAATAATTCTTAGTTAATGAGCTGTATAAAAATTGACTGTGGTTTGGTTTTGATCCATGGGCTCTAAATTAGATATAAATACATGTAAACACTTATAAAACAAGGTTCATATGAGTGTTAGTAATTGCTCTGATCTTATTACCACTTTTCCACTGTAAGTGGAGTTTTTTTTTTCCCCATCCGTATCTTGTCTATATAATTTTTAAAACTAAAAATGCTTAGGAGGTATTTAATGCTGGAGATGGGTTAAAATCTATACAAACTTACACAATCACAGAATTTAATTGCTGGAAGAGATTTTACAGATTATCTAATATGAACCCCTTATTCATTAGATAACTCATAACTCACAGATAAATATGATTAACTAACTTACAAATACTGGAGGGATAGCAGGCCTTCAAAGGAATCTTTGTGTAATTCAGTCAGGGAATTTTCACTGAGAATTCTGAAAGATGAAAAGGTTATTTCTGGACCAAAATTCAGCACAAAGATGGAGAATATCCAGTGGTAAAACAGTATGAGAAAATGAATGCTGTCATATTCTCTTGCCAGGAGTATAAAGTGGCATAACCTTTTTGCGGGTAGCTAAAATTTCATATCTACAATAGTCTTCACCCCCCAAAATCTCATTTCTATTCTATAGAATTATATGCCCATGTTCACAAAGAAGTATGTTTATTGACATTATGCATGTAAACAGGAAAACCATATACACTCTAAACATCCATCAGTAGGGGAATTATTTTTAAATAAACCATGATATGTTCATATGATGGAATATTATGCATGAGTTCAAATGAATAGGGTAGGCTCTGTGTACTAAAAAGAAACCTGACATATGATGAAGTGAAAGAGTCAAGTTGCATGAATGTTACCATTTATGTAAAAAAAGATAATAAAACCATGCAACAAACCTATTTTGCTATATGTAAATATGTGTGTAGGCAAATGCATGGGGAAAGATCCAGAAGGTTATATATACCAAACTCAGAGTAGTGGTTTCCTCAGGGGTGGAGGGTTAGAGCACAGGGATGGTCTCACTATACCTGTTATTTCATATTTACTCATTAAGAATGTAATTATGTATTACTTACAAAATGGAAAATAAATTTAAATTGTTTTTTACTTACTTCAAAGAGGGTCCACGAAATTGAATTTTTATTTATTTATTTATTTTTTGCTGTGGTCCTGGGGATGGAATCCAGGGCCTTGCTCATGCTAGGCAATTACTCTACGTACTACTAAGCTACAAACCCAGTCCCCATGAAATTTAATTTTTAAAATAACCACCAAATTTCACTCAATACAGGCTGAATTAATTTATGGAGGGGAAAACCTTTTTCTAACAGTATTGACCTCAACATTCTAGACTAAGAAGGATCTTACAATGCATTTTTTTTTTTTTTTGTATTCATGTTTGGAGAGAATATACTCACAGTTTCTCAGCCCAACGGTAAGATTTCCATATGTTTTCTTCAATGTAAGAAATAACATTTCCTTGGAAATTCCTGTGAAGAAACAGTTTATACCTTTGAATAAGTAGGGAAAAAAAAGAACAGAAAAAGTAAAACAATCATGGAGAACATTCAAATATAGAAAAAACAAACAAAACAAAAACCCAGCTTTCTAATTTTCAGAACTATCAGCTTCCCGGTTTCACAATAAGATAATAATGTGAGCCACTGGCACAAATGATAAAGCAGAAGTTTAACTTCCTATCTGTCAAATTTCAACAGAAAAATGGCAAGAATTTACCATATTAACAAATATGAATTAAGAAACACATTGCAAGTGACACCAAAGCTTTGCCTAAGTGCCCTCTGTTGAAATATCTCCAGGTATTAGGAGGATAAGGACAATTAGAAATCACAGGAACTGGGCTGGGGATGTGGCTCAAGCGGTAGCGCGCTTGCCTGGCGTGCGTGCGGCCCGGGTTCGATCCTCAGTACCACATACAAACAAAGATGTTGTGCTGCCAAAAACTAAAAAATAAACATTAAAATTCTCTCTCTCTCTTTAAAAAGAAATCACGGGAACTAATGTGCTGATGTGGAAAGATCTCTTGAACATGTTGCATAGAAAACAAGTATGAATCAATGTTTTTTTTCTTTTTTAAACTTCATCAGGGAAAATTGTGCATAGAAGAGAAAGCAGAAAGAAAGACACACACCAATATGTAACAGGGGTCATCTTATGGGTGGTAGGGCATGGACAACGGGTGAAAAAGGACAGAGGTATAGATTTTCACTTTGATCCAATATACTTCTGTTGACTTTTTTTTTTTAAATGTGAGAATGTATCTATGAATGACATGTTTAAAGAAGCTGTTAAATTATGTTCAGTTTCAACTCTGCAGATACCTTCAACTTTTTTTTTTAAACTCTGTCCTTATCCCTTAGCAATAACTTTTCTGTTTATACATCTTTACATAGACTTTTTCTTGGCATTTGGGGTTGGAGGATAAGCCTGCTCATCTAGTGGACAAATGCCTAGTGGACATTTCCACTCAACCAGAAGCCTTCGGAGGGCTTTATGTTCCCCACTAAGAAATGGCTAAGACTGAACTCATTTCTCTCCAACTGGCTTTCCTTCCTGGTGTTGTTTTCCACCTGCTACATCACCAGCATTCTCATTTTTTATCCAGGACAAAACTCGTGGAGCCATATTTTATTTTTCTCTTTTCGATACACCTCATCCCCTAACTCTTTTAGTCAATCATTAAAGCATTTGTTATTCTTCTAAAGCTCCCAGGATTTTTTTCCTTTTAACAGACTAAAGTCAAACCTTAAAATGTTTTTAATATCTTACTTTTAAAACCTGGCATTTTTATTTGTTATCAAACAGAATAAATTGATGGAATTTGATTTTTCTTGTTCTAACTTTTATTTGTCCTTTTTAGTTATGGCAGTAGAATGTATTTTGACATATCATATACACATGGAGTATAACTTCCCATTCTTGTGGTTGTACATGACGTGGAGTTACACTAGTTGTGTATTCATATATGAACATAGGAATGTTATATCTGATTCATTCTATTGTTTTTCCCATTCCCATTCCCTCCTCCTTCCCCCACTCCCCCTTGCGCTCCCAGGATTTTCTTTCTACTCCCATCACAACCACTCTGATTAAGCTCCTTCTTGCTTTACTCATAGATTTTGCTAAAGTTTTCTAGGTGGCCCCATTGAATTAAGCTTTCTCTTCTAGATCACTCTAAAAATGGATTATAAAATTATCTTCCTGTTTTAATTATTTTTATCTCTTGCTTGAAAACTTTCAGTGGCTCTTCATTTCTCACTGTGTAACTTTCAAACACCTATAGTTGATATTTAAGATTTTTCATATTACCTTTCATTGATTCTAACCCAATACTTTGTAGGCCTACTAGTCTACCAAATCCTGGTCATTCTTGCAGCCATTCCTTTGTGTAGATATACTTCCTGTTTTTTTCTTTAACAATTATAGCCACTTTCAAGCACCAGGTAACATTTGAGCCTATCTGTACAGCTTTCCCAACATCCATACCTCAGTAATGAAAGATTATGAAGAATTACAGCACCTGTGGTCTGCATCCTCTTTTAGTACTTAATTATATATCATCTCCATTTTTAGTCTTCTTCCCACCTATCATTTTCGTGTTCTGTAAACAATGTCATATTTCTGTGGCTCCCATAGTACTTAGCCCTCAGTTGGGCACAAAATGGATGTTATATGAAAGCCAAGGCTAAGATGAATTCTGGACATAACTGAGGGACTGAATAATTATATTAACAGCTAGTATTCTTATATGATAGGCACCGACATGAGTATTACATGTACTCTCTCATCTAAATTTCACAACAATCCTATGAACTGGTAACTATCATAATCCCCATTTTCCAAATAAGGAAACTGAGACATAGAGCTTTTTTGCCCAAGGTCACAATGCTAATAAATGAAAGATCTGGGTTCAAAGTCAGGCAGTCTTATTCTAGAATCTACTCTTAACCACTTGGTTGTATCATCATTAATGAGTTGTAAAGCAGATGGAGCAAAATGGTAAAGCTTAAGCAATGATATGATAGGGCTAAATAAAAATGGGTAAGAAAATAAAGGATGATCACAAGTGAAAGATTGGAGAAAGGACACAAGAGTAAGAAGGAAATAGAGGATATGGAGAAGTTGACAAGCAAAAACTAAAAGCAAAAAGTCAGTCAGTGTGGGTTGGGGAGATGAGAAAGGTCCCGGAGACCCTTGAGGAAAAGGGTAGGCAGAATTCAGAGCACAAATGAGGAAAGGTGATTCTTACAAGACTGTGAAGGTGCCATTGTAGCTGTAGGGCTCTAGCACAGGCACTCGGTGGAGTTTCTGCATTGGGGCGAGACCAACACACAACAGTGTCTCATCTTGGCAGGTACAGAGCTCACATATACTAGTGTTCTTGGTGACATTTTCATCCTTTTCTGTGGCATAAATTTCGGGGAAATGAGTTGTGGTTTGGTCTGGCTCCACTTGTGCAACTGTGAATTCAGTCATATTTGTTTGCTGTGAAGTTGTTTCAGTTGTTGAAAGAGTTGTAGGAGTTGCAGAACTTTCAGTTGCCACACTGGGTAGTGGAGTCAGGGTAATTGTCACGTCTGGAGGTTGAACTCCAACACTAGAGGACTCCGACACCGGAGTTGTACTTATTGTTGGAAGTGTAATCTCATAATATACAGGAGGTTTCGCTATAATCTCTTTATATGGCTCTGGAAGCTGAATTGGCTTCCCCGGCAAGGTTTGAGAAGACGCAATATCAATGTTGGGTTTTGAAGTTATGGTAATTTCCACTTCAAAAGATTGAGCTATGACTGAAGTTTCCTTGTGGTTGATTTGAGGATTTGTAGTCTTTTGGTATGGACGTGGAAATGTCACATCAGGGGGCTCTGGAGGAAGATTTGTAGTTTCCAGATCTAGATGTGGAAATGTTGTCTCCGGGGGTTTTGGAGGAGGATTTGTAGTCCCCTGGTGAGGACGTAGAAGTGTTACCTCATGGGGCTTTAGAGGAAAAGCTGTAGAATGTTTAACTCCCACATTGGGCTCTGGAGTTATGGGGAGTTCCACGTCGTGGGGCTTTGGAGGAAAAGCTGTAGGATGTTCAACCTTGACATTGGGCTCTGGAGTTATGGGGAGTTCCACATCCTGGGGCTTTGGAGGAAAAGCTGTAGGATGTTCAACCCCCACATTGGGCTCTGGAGTTATGGGGAGTTGCACTTCCACAGGTTTAAATGCGAGGCTGGGTACTGTTGAATAATGAACTTGATTCTCAGTTAGGACCTGTGGCTGAGTTGAAGTTTCTTGTGTTGGAATCATTCCTTCTTGATACTTTGGAAGCAAAGTTGAGGTTTTCTGCATGGTTGGAAAAACAAATACGGGGACCGTTGGAAGAGATATAGAGAACGTTCCAATAGCTATAGGGAACGATGAAAGAGCTACAGGCTTCTTCTTCGCCCTAGAACGTTTAGTGGGTTTTGGAGTCGAGGTGAGTTCCAGGTCCAAAGGTTGAAATGTAACACTGGGTGATGTTAAATCCTGAGCTTGATTCTGACTTAGGACCTCAGTTGAAGTTTCCATCTGAGTTGTGGTTGCTTGTTGGGCTGAAGAAAATCCAAAGTTTTCAGGGAATCCTGGAGACTGGGAAGGGGCATTCGACTGGGTTGGATAAAATGTAACTTGCTGGGTGGAAACTGGCTCAACTTCTTTAGTGGCTTCTGAAGGTACAGTAACTATCAGAGCCACATGTTGAACTGTGGTTTTAGGCAAATTTGAAGACCCACTTCTGAACATTACTTCTAGATCTTGAGGTGAAAATGACATGGAATCACTGAAGGAAGCAATAGTCGGGACAAATGTGGATTCTGGAGGTTTAGTTGGGAGTGTTTCCTGGACTGGTGGAAGTTCAACACTCACGGGGGGCGTTGAGGGCAGAGATGAGCTCTCCTGCTGACTTGATAAAGATTCCTCAGGCAGCTCTTCAAGCTGACTGGGGACCTCTTGATCAATTGGAGGTTGTTCCTCCTCTAGAGGGGGGCTTGGCTGAGGTTCCAACTGCTCAGGGGACACTGAGGACTCATCTAGGGTCTCCTGTTGCGCTGAAGTTTCAACCTCACTATTCAATTCTGGAGTAGGAGACTCAGCTTGATCAGAACCTAGAGAAGAACCTGTCACATCCTCACCTTCTGGAGATTGACCTACATCGTTAGGGAGCTCTGGAGGCACAGTTGGGGCTTCAGGCTGGGATGCAGAAGGTCCTGACTCATTAGTTGGAATTGAGGGAGGAACTATAGCCTCACCATTGATCATAGAAGTTCCCACCTCTGTAGTGGGTTCAGGTGTTATAGTCATTAGTACATCTGCAGGTTCACCGGTCACACTGGGCAAGTCTAGAGATTGCACTGGTACTTCCAGCTGGCTTTCAGAAGACTGGTCCTCCCCAGGAGACTCAGAAGGCTCAGTTGGGGTCTCTTGCTCACTGAGAGAAGGTTCAGTCTCCACAGGAGGGCCCGGAGGCTGAGCTGGGGTCTCTTGCTGGGTTAGAGAAGGTTCTACCTCCTCCGCATACTCTGGAGGCTGAACTGGGGCCTCCTGAACTGGGGCCTCCTGAACTGGAGCCTCCTGAACTGGAGCCTCCTGAACTGGGGCCTCCTGAACTGGGGCCTCTGGCTGAACTGGGGCTTCCTGAACTGGGGCCTCCTGAACTGGGGCCTCTGGCTGAACTGGGGCCTCTGGCTGAACTGGGGCCTCCTGCTGGGCTAGAGAAGATTCGGCCTCCTTGGTAGGTTCCGAAGTTATGGTAATTTCCACATCTGCAGGCCTACCTGTAACACTGGGCAAATTATAATAATGAACTTGATCCTGACCTAGAGATGGAACTACAGGTAGAGTTGGTAGAGTTTCAGCTATATTCTCCATAGGGGACTTGGGAGCTTGAACTGGAGTCTCTTGCTCAGCTAAAGAGGGTTCAGAGAGCTCTGAAGTCTGAGCTGGAGCCTCTTGTTGGGTTGATGAAGGTTCTACTACTTCAAGACCCTCTGAAGGCTGGGTTGGGGCCTGCTCCTGGCCTGAAGGAAGGTGAATCTCTTTATCTGCCTGCGGAGTTACGGTAACGAGATCTGCAGGTTTACTTGTGACAACCGGCTGAGTGTCACTTCTTAGAGATGAAAGCTTATGATGCATTGATGCTTCACCTCCTAGAGCCTCCTGGTCCTCAGGAACTTCTTGCTGGGACGAAGAGGACTGGAGCTCCTCAGGAGTCTCTTGGGCCTCCACAGAAGGTTCAACCTGGTCAGGAGTTTCTGGAGACTCCTCTGAGTTCTCCTGGGATTCCGGAGGTAGGTTGCCAGAAGAAGCTACATCTGTACTTGGATACACATAATCATCCTGCAAGTTGTTCTGAAGCTGAAGTTTTGCAAATTGCTTTGGAGTTCCACCAACAACTTTAGCAAATCTCGGATGCTGAGCTACATCCTTCTTCAGATTCAGTGGTGAAACAATAAACTTTGCTGCTTTTGCACTCTGACTATCTAGAGGTGGAACAAGTACTTCAAATGACTGGTGATCTGTAGACTGATCCAGATTGACAGTATGAAGCTTACTTTTGAGTCGAGCATTGGAACCAATTCTGGGAGCCTCTCTTTCGGAATTAGTTTGTCTTGATGCAGCAAACTGATCTTGAACAGCAAACTGATCCACCTCTGGGGCCGGCTCTCCAGGTGAAACCCTGCCCAAGAATGGAAGCAAACTGTCAGTTAACTTCCGTGGTGAGTCCAACATCTGGGAGCGAGCAGAGGACCCCAGGTCATCAAAGACTCCCGGGTCTGCCGGGGGTGTAAGCGCATGGGGCGATAAGGGTGGGAGTTCAGAGGAGAGCAGAGACCAGGGCTTGATAGGCCCTGGGTGCTCAGCGGTCAGCTGGAGAGGGTCCTGGGGCGACTCCAGAGGCTGAGCTGCCTGGACCAGCAGCCACAATGGTTGCCACGTGAGGAGAAGCCCTGGTGCCCAGAGGCGCAGCAGGGACATGACGTGCGGAGGCTTCGGGGCACAGCGACCCAGGCCAATGGGGCGCGGGGCGCGCCTGTGGGAGCCTAACCGTTATGGCAGCCCCTTGAGGCGCGCGCCTGGGAAACCTCAGTGGCCCCGCCCCACCCTTTATTCATGACACCTTGATTATGACACCTTTATTAGGCTCAACCTTTATTAGGCTCGCTCAGACCGGGAGCCTTTTCCCACAATCAGCCAACCCAAGCTTCCCTTCCCCAAGCAGGGGCCACAATCGACCCCCACAGGCCCCCTCCCCTACATCGAAGCAGGATCTGGGCCCTAGATGTGGGTGGCACCAGGACTCTAGCAGCCCATTGGGTGGGGGGCGGCAGAGATTCCCAAGGAAGTCACAGGACTGAGCCTCTGGGGATATTCAGTAGTGCTAGTCCAGTTCTGGCGGCCTGAATTCTTCCTCTTCCAGGCTGAAATCCCAGAGATATTCTTCCTCCCCTTGGCTATACTGCTTCCAAGAGAAGCAAGTGACCTGTAAAACGAGGGCCAGTTAGGTTAACAGGCAGACTACACATTAAGGTTATTTATTCCAAAATGTTGCCATTTGCTCTAAACTCTCTATCCTATTTCATGTTTGATAATTAATTCATCACTCTGTTAGGCTGGGGCTACCATTGAAATCAGTGATGACTCCGAAATTTCTGTAGGAGGGGTTTTAGGCAGTGGGCAATTCAGTCTGAGAAAGGGGTGTGAATCCGTGTGGACAGCCCTTTACACTGGCATGGGAAAACATCTCCTTCCCACCTTGGCTCAGGTAGGCGTGACAACACCACTTTTTTAAAGGTGACTTTTTTTTTTTTTTTTTTTTTTTTTAAGAGAGAGGAGAGAGGAGAGAGAGTGAGTGAGGAGAGAATTTTTTATTTAATATTTATTTTTTAGTTTTTGGCGGACACAACATCTTTGTTTGTATGTGGTGCTGAGGATCGAACCCGGGCCGCACGCATACCAGGCGAGCGCGCTACCGCTTGAGCCACATCCCCAGCCCCTAAAGGTGACTCTTGTGCACATATCTAGAGAAGGCAGGATGTTAAAGCCTGCAACTTAAATAGTTTTCTTGAAACACTACTAAGACTAGAACCCAAATGACTTTTTTTTCAGAGCCCTTATAGTAATCTGTTTTATTACTTATTACCTGACACAACCCTAGTGCATAAAGATGTGTCATCTTCTTATTCCCAGTGCCTTGCATATGGCTGAGCACATAGTAATGGTTTTCAAAGTCACCTCCTTAAGGGGTGGATCTGCTCTTATAATGGGATTTCTACAGTCAGTGTGGATTTACTTCCTTTCACATTTCACAGGAAGTGAGACTTCTTAAACTTAAGTTTCCTTAACTGGTTTTATTTAAATTGAACTAAAACTTTTACATGGAAATAACTTAAAATACTGTTTCAGAATGCAACCCACTTCCTCTGCCTTTTCAAAATAAAACACCCCACATTTTTGAAGAGAATCATATAATTGAAAATCTCCAAATTAATCCCCCCGCCCCCCGCATAAAACATATTTTTGTGCCTCCCCCAAATATCTTATACATAGTAAATAATGCCTAATCTAGAAATTACTTTGGCAACTTACTCCCTAGTTAAGGGCTTTCATATAATTGATTTACAGAAAGGTTCTTCAGCAAAATATTCTACTTGAGTATAGGGAGATGTTGAGATTTAGGTAACACACCACATTTTGGAGGCATAATAGTTCTCAAAGCTACAACACAATCAAACCTAAGGCTGTAGTTACTCTGTTGCCAAATCTCTGTGATCCTACTTGAGGGAAAATCTAAAAAGACAAGCAGCCCACTTTCTCTAACTCTGGAAAGGGAGCCTAGCTCCTCTTTTGAGTCTGTAACTACAGTAGTCCCTTGAGAGGTCTCAATTCTACTCTCTAAACTTCAAACAATGGGTCAGGAAGTCCATAAATCCCCTATAATCAAAAGCAGTTTTAGAGTTTCATTTTTCTAAGACTGATACATGATGAAATGCTGAAGTCTTTCAATAACACTGGTTTCTTTTCTTTTCTTTATGGTACCAGGGCGCTCAACCACTGAGCCATATTCCCAGCCCTTTTTTTAAAAAAAATATTTTTAGCTGTCAGTGAATCTTTATTTACTTATATGTGGTGCTGAGAAACAAACCCAGTGCCTCACACATGCTAGGAAAGTGGTCTACCACTGAGCTATAACACCAGGCCACCTAGCCCTTTTTTTAAAAAAAATTCTTTTCTTTTGAGACAGCGTCTTGCTGAGTTGCTTAAGGCCTTGCTAAGTTGCTGAGGCTGGTTTTGAAATCGTGATCCTCCTGCCTCAGCCTCCCAAGCTGCTGGGATTACACGCATGAACCCCGCACCCAGCCCACTGGTTGTTTTCAATCATGGCTACACTGACTATGGAACCCCTGAGCTTTCATCTTCACAAGGAAATAGCTAACACTTAGGAGGTATTTACATTCTCGGAGAAGGTTGTTAATGCAGCTGAACCATTATTAATCATTTTAGTGGCCTGTAACATTCATAGAGGTATGTGTAGTCTCACCTCTAATATGGGTTTGTAACTTGGTGAGTGCAGTTCATCTAAACTGCTTTTTAAGTCATATTCTCAAGCAGGAGCTTCATGATGGGTAGACAAATAATTTATTTTTCCATATTTTTATTGGTGCAAAATAAAATTTCTTTGCTCTCGGGCTGGGGATGTGGCTCAAGCGGTAGCGCACTCGCCTGGCATACGTGCGGCCCGGGTTCGATCCTCAGCACCACATACAACCAAAGATGTTGTGCCCGCCGATAACTAAAAAATAAATATTAAAAAAAAATTCTCTCTTTACTGTCTGTCTCTCACTCTCTCTTTAAAAAAAAAAAAATCTTTGGGATAATAAGCATCCCATCACCTCTGGTTCAGTTCTCCCTTTGGTCCTCAGCTTCCTCATTTCTAAAGTGGGAATCACAAACAGTTTTGAATGGAAAACTGGCATGGAAATTTGGATAGAATGAGGTAAGCATGTAAAGTACAACCAACTTTGGCGCTTCAGGATCTGTAGAATCCTTTGACTGGATGGGTAACAGGGCCAGTAAACCAAGCCTCTGCTCAGTAAAGGGATTCCCTGACTCTTAGAACTCTCTAAGGACGTGCCCAGGCTGTGGGTAGGAAGAGAAGTCCTTTGAGTACAGCCTGGTCTCCTCTCTCGTCCCTCCCACCCTGGGACCCAGGCCAAACCTTCACAGTCCACGTGGCAATAGTTTTCTGAGTGACTCTGATAATTGTTGCACCAGTAGTGGCTGTTGATCTGGAAGATGCCATAGTCAGTGCTGCCATCTGCATTTTCATTTATCTTTGAGACGTTGAACTTGCTTTCCACAAAAGCCAGGCAAATCCCTTATGATGGGGAGAAGAGAATCAGGATTTAGGGAGGACCTAGCTGAGTGCGAGAGAGATGGCATAGAAAGGAGGATAAGGATTCAGAGGAAAGGAACAAGATCTGGGAGGCTAGATGGAACTGGAGGGCTGGAAATGATCATGGGCATCTCATCTTATTCTTTGGTCCCTCCAGCCACCAATCAATATAACCAGCCATTCATTACCCTACCATCCACCCATGCTTTCTGATTTCTTGAGTATCTACTGTGTGTCAGGAAATATGCAAAGCCTAACAAGGGAAATTAACTGGGTCAACTATAGATGTTGCTTTCAAGGAAATTTTAGTATAAGAATGATAATATGTACCTTAAAAACCACAAAGCAATGTAAAAAAGAGAAAGTGTTGCAAGACAGTTGCACAAATTCCAGACCAAAAGGGAGATGTCCCTGCCACACAGAGACATGAAACCTTTGCACCAGCCATTTCCTGTGTCTGGAATTGTCTTCCTCTGGCATTTGGTTGATCAGATTTTCCATTTCATTAAGCACTGCTCAATGTCACTTCCTCAGAGAGTCTTTCCTTAAGTTCTCCATCCAGAACAGTCAGTGTCACCTGTCACACACCCTACTACTTTATTCTTCTTCATGCATTTATCGCTACCAGATGTAATACTGTGGTGTGTGTGTGTGTGTGTGTGTGTGTGTGTGTGTGTAGGGAAGCGGATTTGTTTGTATCCCTAGACTCTGAAACAGTTCTTGATATATAATAAGTGTTCAATTAATAATTTTTGCAGGAGTGTGAAATGCTGGGAAAAGCTTCCTGGCTTTGAAAAGAAGAACAGGAGACAAAGAAAGATGGCTAAAAAGCATGGCACTTACAGTCATTCAAGGAGTAACCCTCATATACTGATGTGGATGTTAAATACCCCCTTTACTCTTAGTAGAGCTGGAATTTGAACCATCGTCTCTTTGGTCCTGATTCCACCACATATTGATCCCTCAGCACCAGGAGACCTCCCTGTGCTCCAGTGGGGTAGCCGACATACCCCAGGGTCTGTTACCCACTGGGCCGGCAGGGAGCAGTTGGAGATGGCACTAGGGGGTTGTGATTCTCCAGGTGCCTTTGGCAAGACTCCTCAGTTGACCTGAAACCGACGATTGTGAAGCAGGGCAATTTCCAGGGTCAGATGCTGTTGAGAGCCACAGCCAAAGGGGCCCCAGCAAACTTCCAGCTGCCAGCAAACTTCCAGCTGCTGGCTGATGATTGGCTCACAGCGGCCCCAGCAACATCTAGCCGATTGGCTCCTCTGCGGTGATGCTCATTGGGCTGTTCCCCTGCCCTTTCAGACCACGGAGCTGCTCATTGGGGGACTTTTTTGGCTCCGCCCACGTGACCCAGCCAATCGGCCTCAAGAGCAGGAGGATTGTGGGAGGTGGAGAGAAGCTTGTGTGGGAGAGGGAGGCTTGTGGAAAGCCGGTGGTGGCAGTTGAGGCTCTGAGGGTTTTTCCTGAGAGGCTGTTTTGTTTGGCATGTGTGGTTCTAAAAATAAAGTTAGTTTCTTTTGACAAGTGGCTCCTGATTGTGCCCAGCCAGACTGCAGCATTTGGTGGCTCGCACGGGGAGCGACTGAGGGTAAGTGAAACTGCTCGCCCCTGAGGGCAGGGCGAGAGGATGGGTAGCCATTTTAAGATTCCTCTTTTATTTTGCTTCACTTTTGTTTTAAGTTGCCTGTCCCTGGAGATGAGTGAGACGGAAGAAAAACCGCTCACATCTGAGGAAAAACTATTTACGTCTGAGGAACAGATAAGGAGAAAGGACGGATGCACATGTCAGGAGGATAGAAAGGCTATAATGACTTTTTGTTGTTCCCTTTTTATTTCATTCTGTCTCGGTTTTGTTTGGCGTTATCTTGTTGGGTTGTATTATAGTAGAAATACGGGATCAGAAATTAGTAAAAAACAAACTGAAAGAGTGTTAAGTAAATTGTTAGAGGAAGGAGGCATCTCAGTAAAATCAAGAACAATCAGGGCATACGTTGATACAATACAAAAATGTAGCCCATGGCTTTTTAAGGAGGAGTTGTTAAATATATCACAATGGAACCATCATGGTGAAGATTTAAAAAGAGTAGAAAAGAAAAGCCCAGGGACTCTGCCAGTTGGCACATTGCCATTGTGGACATTCGTATCTTGTTTGCTTAGTCCAAAGCCTTCAGTTCAGACAATGGTAGAGGAAGGAGAAGACATAATGATTCAAGTAAAGGGAAGGTCTCTCAAGTTAGTCAGACAGAGGAAAAGATTCAAGTAAAAGAGAAGGCCTCTCAAGCTAGTCAGACAGAGGAAAAGATTCAAGTAAAAGAGAAGGCCTCTCAAGCTAGTCAGACAGAGAAAGAAAGTGTAAAACAGAAAAAGCCATCAGGGGGAAAGTTACAACAGGAGACTGCTACTAACACCTTTCTATCACCAGAGGGTGTAAGTGTCCAATCAACAGCACCACCTCTACAGGAGACTGCTACTAACACCTTTCTATCAGCAGAGGACGTAAGTGTCCAACTAACAAGGCCACCTCCATATGCTGGGAGGTCCCCAACCCCCGCAGTTGATAGTTGGGATCCTGAGACAAGATCTCAAATATTAACGTGCCCTGTATTTGAGGCAGGAGGGCAGCGAGTTTACCAAGTTTTAAATTTCAAAACAGTGAAGCAGCTAAAAGAGGCTGTAACAACCTATGGTCCTCAAGCACCCTTCACTGTAAGCATGGTCGAATCCATTAACAACTTGAACATGACGCCAGCAGATTGGGCTAATATGTGTAAAGCTGTGCTAAATGGAGGACAATACCTGTTATGGAAGGTTGCCAATGAGGAATTTTGCAAGGAGACGGCTGGGCGAAATGCAGCAGCCGGTTATCCTCAGAGAAATCTAGATATGTTGTTAGGAAAGGGACCTTATGAGGATCAGCAGCAACAAATTGCATATGGTCCGTCCACCAAAAATTCAAATACGAGTAGATCAACTCAAATCACTTAATGACTTTCAAAAGTTATTAGGAGACATAAATTGGATAAGGCCTTATTTAGGTATACCAACAGGAGAGTTGGGACCTTTATTTGATATCCTAAAAGGTCCATCAGATCCAAATTCACCCCGAATGTTAACGCCTGAAGCAAGAAAGGCATTAAAAATCATTGAAACATATATGGAAAATATGCATTTGGATAGAATTGATATAAGTTTGCCTTTATTATTTATTGTACTACCAACAAAAAATATTCCTACAGGAGTATTTTGGCAAGAAGGTCCATTATTATGGATACATTTATCTTATTCTCCTAACACTATTCTTACTAGGTATCCTGAGGCTGTAGGACAATTAATACTCAAAGGAATAAAAGCAGCAAAGGGAGTGTTTGGAATTTCTCCCAATAAAATTATTACTCCATATACTATGAATCAAATTGATGAGTTAGCTAATGAGTTAAATACTTGGGCAATAATCATGTGCAAATCTAATGTTTCATTTGATAACCACTTACCATCTAATCCTTTATTGTCTTTTTGGTCATTGCATCCTGTAATTTTTCCAAAAATGACAAGAAAAACACCTATCATGAATGCTCCAAATATATTCACTGATGGGTCAAATAATGGTACAGCAGCAGTAGTTACCCCTGATCAAACTTTTACATTTTTAGTACCCAAACAATCAGCTCAAAAGGTAGAGCTTAATGCAGTTTTACAAGCTTTTGTGATGTTTAAAGATTCTGTATTTAATTTATTTTCTGATAGTCAGTATGTAGTTAATGCTATAGTATCTCTTGAAGATGCTGGTAGGATTTCCCCTTCTTCTACTGTTTTCTCTTTGCTTTCCACTATACAAAGTCTAATCTGGGACAGAAAAGATCCATTCTTTATAGGACATATCAGGGCACATACAGGATTGCCTGGAGCCCTTAGTTTGGGCAATGATTTAGCAGATAAAACTACACATGACATACATATTTTCTCTACACTAGAAGAAGCTATAAATTTTCATAAAAAGTTCCATGTCAATGCTAATACTTTACAAAAGCGTTTTAAAATAACTAAGGAACAAGCTAGACAAATAATAAAACAATGTCAAAATTGTGTGACCTTTTTACCACAAGTTAATCTTGGAGTCAATCCTAGAGGATTGATACCTAACCATATTTGGCAGATGGACGTCACACACTTGCCAGAATTTGGAAAATTAAAATATTTGCATGTTACAGTTGATACTTCTTCTGGATTTTTGATGGGCTCCCTTCATGCCGGAGAAAAAACTAAAGATGTTATAGCTCATTGCTTACAAAATTTTGCCACTGTGGGTGTTCCAAAACAGTTAAAAACAGATAATGCCCCTGGTTATACTTCTACCTCTTTTAAACAATTTTGCTCAACATTTGGCATTACTCATATAACAGGAATCCCATACAATCCACAGGGACAAGGCATAGTTGAAAGAGCTCATCAAACTATTAAAATGTACTTATTAAAGCAAAAAGAAGGAATTGGGAAGGGGTATATATTCCCCAAAGATAAACTTAAAATAACCCTTTTTACTCTAAACTTTTTAAATTTGGATTCATCAGGACTTAGTGCTGCGGAAAGGCATATGTGTCCAAAAAATGTACATAAGCCCAAGGTACTTTGGAAGGATATTCTAACAGGACAATGGAAAGGTCCTGACCCAGTAATTGTCTGGAGTCGGGGGTCTGTTTGTGTGTTTCCACAGGGAGAACAGCAGCCGATTTGGATTCCAGAGAGATTAACCAAGGTCCTGACCCAGTGATTGTCTGGAGTCGGGGGTCTGATTATGTGTTTCCACAGGGAGAACAGCAGCCGATTTGGATTCCAGAAAGATTAACTAAAGCGATTTCTACAGACCAAAAAGAAGATGATTTGGCTCAAATCCATAACAACTGATATCCAAAACTCCAGTTTGGCTGTTCTTACATCTGCAACAGAACCAGGATGCTTTTTTTCAATATCTATTTTATTATTGCCCTTTGCCATATCATGAAGTTCTATTTTGTTTTTTGAGCTCATACAGACCTAGGTTAATGTTTTGCTGATCAGTTCTATTTTTTGACTATAGAGTTTTTAAACATTGCAATGGAGATTTCACCTGTAAAAAGTTATAAGGCCTTTACTATAATGTTATGTGTTGTATGTATTATATTATGTGTGCACACTTGTGTTTTGTGTTATATGTTTGAATGTACGTATGTCCATATATCATATAAGATGAGCGCTCATGATAAAATGGATCCAAATATTTTTTTTCACGTGATTTATATGGTTTAATTTAAATTGGGTAAACAACTGTTGAGGATTGTTTTAATATGTGAACACAAAAGAAGGTTAACAGATCTGTTTGTTTACTTTCACCTTTCCTTTTCATTATATTTAATCATTCTCTTAAAGACAATGTAAATTGTTAAGAAAATTGTTTTCTTTTAGTGCCTTCTGTAATGTTACATAATTTTTTCTTTAGCCATTATTGCCAGAATTCCTATCTTCATCCCAGTGCCGGTGAAGACAATGTAAATTGTTAAGAAAATTGTTTTCTTTTAGTGCCTTCTGGAATGTTACATAATTTTTTCTTTAGCCATTATTGCCAGAATTCCTATCTTCATCCCAGTGCTGGTGAAGTCAAAGATAAAACCAATCTACAGCTTCTACAATAGCCATCACTGAACTGCTTGCAGAACTTGCCTGGACACATTGTGAGCTCACCTGTATGCATTGTGAACTATCTGTTGGTACAGCGAATTGTGGTAGTGCTGGAGTATTTTTGCTGATGGTGTCACCGGTGGTACAATTTTTCAAAGGAGCCCTCAATTGGCTTAATGTCATGGCATTTTGCATCCTCCTCTACTAGTGATGGTCTAAAATTTGGGGGCCAACAGAGGTGAGGCAAAGAACCTCACCCCCCCACAGGTGCAAAGGCCTATCCACAAGTATGGCTGTATGCTGGACCGGTAGTCAGTGACGGGTATGATCCGATTGCAGTGGTACCAACCTAAGACAGGAGGCTGACGCCTAGAGGTCAGTTCATCCCATGACGGGTAAGGACCATATGTTGAATTGGACTGCCTAACAGGCACGGTCCCTAAGCCACATGCTTGTTGTTTAAACAGAGAGGGGGAGATGTTGAGAGCCACAGCCAAAGGGGCCCCAGCAAACTTCCAGCTGCCAGCAAACTTCCAGCTGCTGGCTGATGATTGGCTCACAGCGGCCCCAGCAACATCTAGCTGATTGGCTCCTCGGCCCCAGCAACATCTAGCCGATTGGCTCCTCTGCGGTGATGCTCATTGGGCTGTTTCCCTGCCCTTTCAGACCACGGAGCTGCTCATTGGGGGACTTTTTTGGCTCTGCCCACGTGACCCAGCCAATCGGCCTCAAGAGCAGGAGGATTGTGGGAGGTGGAGAGAAGCTTGTGTGGGAGAGGGAGGCTTGTGGAAAGCCGGTGGTGGCAGTTGAGGCTCTGAGGGTTTTTCCTGAGAGGCTGTTTTGTTTGGCGTGTGTGGTTCTAAAAATAAAGTTAGTTTCTTTTGACAAGTGGCTCCTGATTGTGCCCTGATTGTGCTGATGCAATGAGTTTGTTGGGATGAACCCAACTACCATGTGTAACAATAAAGCTCTAACAAAATAATTTTATTAAAAAAGATTAAAAAGAGAAAGAATAAATCGAATACATGGCATGGAACTAAAAACTTGAAGAACAAGCATTCATAAGCATAAATATTAACTATTTTGAAAATCATTTTTCTTAAAATCTCTCTCCTACACAAAGAGATAGAATCACTTAAAAGACTTTTACACTTTGGGGGACAGTGAAGACATTTTAAATGATGGGGAAAGCACTATCAGAGACCTAGTACCTTGACCTTCCTCCTGCATGAATCACTGCACTTGGTGCATGGAAATATAGATATCAAGGATTAAACAAGCAACCAGAGTGTCCATAATTCCCTTCTTGATACCAAAAAGGAGGGAGTAAGGGAAATATTAAATAAAAGTAAGCTTTACATGAAATGCTAAAGGAAATTGTAAATAAGGAAACGGTCTGATGGTGGGTATCTTACTTAAACTTCTTGCAAGTCCAGTGAGATTGTGGATCCCAGTCTGAATGAATGCTCAGCACCCCCTAGTGTCTGTGCAATTCATCAAATGATTTTCATCAAAAGCAAGT